AAGGAGATATTTGATTATAGGAAAGAATCTCATGGATACAAATTGCTAAAGAAGAAGAACTTCTGTGAAGATCCTTTTGTAAAAGTTTATAACATCAATAAAGATCTAAAATTAACAACTGGTATCAGTAAAAAAGCAATTCCAAGTATAGAATCAAAAGATGGTCATCTTGTACTGTTTTGCTTATGAGTCGTAGTTGATTGCTAAAACTAGATATTCTAATATAGGGAGAAAAGCACTGGATATTTTATGGTCCACTCACAGATGGAATTTATTTAGGGGGCATGCATACAGTAGGTACACAGTAAAACCACTGATTTAGGACCCGATGTTTTGTACACACCTGTATGCAATTAACACCCCTCACCCAGCTCTGCATGTCTACAAATTTTTTAAACTTGTGAAATTTTTACTTTTTTAATTTTTTTAAACTTTTAATTTTTTAAACTTGTGAAATTTAATGCTTTTGTTGAAAAAAAGAAATCAATTTTTAGGAAAGATAGAGAACAAGAGATAGTCGAACCGTGTACATATTTGCTGTTTTCAACCCCCACTTCCTCCTACTTTTTACTCTTCCTTGTGCGGATTGTAACTTTGAACAGATTTAAAAGAGATAAAAAATAATAGATTATTAATAGATGTTAAAACTTTGAACAGATATAAAAGAGATAAAAAATAATAGATTATTAATAGATGTTAAAATAATTGAAGCAGATGCTTGATGGCAGAATAGCCTTATAAATCTAACAGAGACAAATTGACAATTAATAGAATTGTTTGTAACTTTAATGTTCCTTAAGTGACCTTAATGTTCTTTCAAAGACAATTAAAAGAAGAACTATTAAATCCATCTGCAATGACATGCATTGAGGAATAGCGCAAACTAAATGTAGACTAAAGTTTGAAGCCTCATTATTATCAAGATGTTAAAGGAGTATGTAAAAGGTTGTAAATAATGTGATGAGATGAATGTTAAGTGTTATACAACACACAACTGAGTGAAGGAAAAATATGGTGCAAAATGCATCTGGACCATGGTCTGTACTGGGTGTGCGACTATTTTTAATTTTGATAAATGTGTTATTTGGATGGATGGAAATTATTAAAGTAACCACAAATCTCTCACAATTTTAACAATACTCCAAAGTGTGCTTTGGAGAAATAGAGTAAAAAAGTTGGAAAAATAGTATAACTCTCAAGCTAAATAATCGTTGAAGGAATGTTTAAATAGCTTTCAAACCTATTGAGTTTTAGATGCATATTTTCTATTAAGTAGCAGATAACCTAAAAAGAGTAACACATTTGATTTTTTATATTTTCCAAAATTTGGTATGGGGGCAGAATTATATCATTTTTTTTTTATGCAATATTATTTAGTTTAGATATATTTATGTAGATACTTTTGTCATTAGATTTAGAATTTTAATTTATTTTTTCTATTCAATTTGCAAATAAAAAAGGTGATACATACTAATATGCATGCATACTAATAGTATGCACGATGCATACTAATAATATTGTAATAGTGGGTGAAAAAAAAAAAAAACTTCAAACAAGTGTGTTCTACAGTTCAACAAAATTTAGGATTTATGTTAATTGTTTAATATCTGTGTCTTATATATGATCTCTCATATTTAAAATTTCTTTAGTTATGCCAGGGTTAAAAGCCTTAATATTGTTTAACTTAAATTTTTTTATTCGGTAATTATATTTTTTATTTTGAAATTTTTTTTGGAATAAAAATTTTTGTTTTTTAATTTTTTGATTTGGAGAGGGGCATGCCCTTCCAAAAACTTTTGATTTTAATTTTTTGGTGTTAAAAAGAGAACTAGGATAGAATTGTAGAGGAAAAAATGTTTTTCAAAGTTAATTGTAATTTCTAATGAGGGTATAAATATATTGGCTATAAGGTAGGATAATGTATTTCTTATTTATAATATTAAAGTAGTTGTGTTAATATTTCTAATTAGTACTTATGTTATTAGTAAATTCACTTAATTTTTTTTTTTCCTGTTACGGTTAGCAGTTGTATGCTATTTAAAATTGTTCAATATATTATTACTACTTATATTAAATATCTATACTATTTAAACTAGTTCAAATTTTTTTACATATTTCACGACTTCCATTCTGTATTTCCTCTTCTCAAAATTCTTTATCAAAAGTGGCTATTATATAATTTAATTCCTTTACATAATTTATATATAATTTAATTCCTATGCAGAATATTGAATTTTGTCCAGTATTTGTCCAATTATTGTGATATGATATTTTTCATCATCATATATAATCATTACACTAGAATATCTTTAGATATTTTGGTGTAATGATTATGCCATCCTCATTTTAAACCCCCATAAATAATCTTTTTAGGATTAATGACTTTTTTAAGATAAGTGATTTTTTAACAAAATGACATTTTTGGGATAAATGGTTTATTATAATTAAATTATACCTCCTACACAAAAAGCTTTTAATTTTTACTCAGAAAGATTTTTACCTTTTTACCTTTTACTCGGCTTTTAGTACTTTACTAATCAGCTTTTATTTTCTTTTGCGTAAAGTTTAAAAAAACTTTTTTTTACTTCATATGCACTTCAAACTTTTGGGGTGACAATTTAAAGAGGGTGCGACAGAAGATTAAACAATCGCAGCATGAATCCACTCTATCGGTTCGCATTTAATAGTAAATAATGCTGTGACACATATCCTAATCTTTATATAATTATTGATTTATTTTCTTCGTGCAGAATAATTTCTATATTCAAAGAAAACACGTGGTTTTGGTGTACTTTGTCCGAAAGGTTCGTTAAAATAAAAAAATTAAAAAATTAAAATTTTTATCGAACCTTTTGTACCACGTAAACTTTCCGAGTTTTAAAAAATTCCACATAAAGAAGATTTTTTATAGAATTTTATGATTGTGCCCCTCCACTTCGAAACCCGTGTCGTCGGCCCTGGTATCTAAAAAATAGAAATGAAAAAAACTTAATACTTACAAACAATACAAAATTAAAAAAAAAAAAAAAACTGCAGCTAGAGACAATAAAAAAAAAGGAAAATTATAAAAGAGACAATTGGGAACAAAAAACTAAATCAAATAGTTTATTTAATCAAATAGTTATAGACAATATATAGTACAGTGAAAAAAATACAATTGCTAAAAAGTTCAATGCATTTTTTTTTAACATTGGCCCTAATCTTGACTCCAAGTTAAGTTTCCTAATAATTAATTTGAATCATACCTATGTGATGAGCTAACTGAAATGCAAACGACTATAAAGTACTTAACATTGCTCTAAATTGCTTAAAATTAAATAAAACACTATGTGGAAATGATATTTGTAGTAGGGTAGCAGCAAATGTCTTTACAATGATAAATAAACCTATATTTAAAGTTTTAAAGTCTTCGATTAAAACATGAGTTGTACCGGACAATTTAAAAGTAGCTAAAGTTGTACGAATATTTAAAATCGGTAAACAATACTTATTTAGTAACTATAGACCTATCTAGGTATTTCTACCTTCTCTAAGCTTCTCAAACGAGTAATTTATAACAGGTTGTACGAACATTTCACCCAAAATAAAACCCTAGATAAAAAATGTTTGGTTTTCAAAACCATTATTCAATAGAACACGCAATTCCATATATAGTTAATAGTAAAAGTGATTTTTTTGATAAAAAAACTTTTTGTTCTAGAAATCTTTATAGACCAAAGCTTGGTTGTCACATTGCTGGTATTCCTGTTAATATCTTACTGTATGCAGAAGATTTAGTATTGCTTGCTCCATCTTAGCGCGCCCAACAGCGTTTATTGAATATTTTTTCTATTATTGTTACTAAATTAGACATGAAATTCAGTGTAAAAAAATCAAGGACTATTATATTTGTGCCATACAACTGCTTAATACGATTAACACACTGAAAAAAAAAGGTAGAAATTTCTAAAATTATATTAAAAATAATAATTTGTCATACAATTTTCTGTTCGTGTGAAAGCGCGTAGGGCGTATTAAACTCAATAATAATACGTGAATTATTTTAGCATTATATATTTTAATTAGAACGTTAATATGGCTAACTCAAAAAACGCCTCTTTTATAAATTTATACACGACTATTTATACAATATAATATTTATCCAACAGAGATATTATAGGTATTTTCTAACTTTATAATCATCTATATACAAAATTCGCTAATTGCCTCATTAGCTAAAGAAATCTCTCAAGTCAATATATGACGCTTAGAGACGTTTATAATACAACTATATTACTTACATTAAACTACTACTTACACTATTCGCCTCGTGAACATACTCCTCCTTTTTAACCATATGGTCAACATCTTCTGGTTCATTCAGCTCATGAGGGCACAACTTGGTTATCGGACGTTTCAAGATAACCTTCCCAACTTGAACAATGGCGACACGCACTAACCCATCGTTTCCAGGAAAAACCTCAGTTACCCGACCAAGTAGCCAATTGTCTCTTGAAGTAGTTTCGGAGATCACCAAAACTAGATTGCCTACCGATAAGTTTCCCATTACAATATTCCATTTTTTTGAGGTTTAAGCATGGGTAACTATTCTTTCATCCAGCGATGCCAAAATCTTTTTGTTAATTCTTGGGCTCATTGCTATCTTTTTTTTGGGTTGAATGAAGTAATATCCCCTGTATCAGCGGCGAACTTACCACCTAATTGTCCAAATAAAAAATGATTTGGTGTAAGAGGTGTGCAGTATTTAAGATCACTCGATTGATAAGTCAATGGTCGTGAATTTATAAGTCCTTCTGCCACGGCAAACGCTGTAAAAAGTTCTTCGTCAGTAATATCCACATTTTCCAGTTGGAAATAAATTGCTTGTTTTGCGGCTTTTATCATAATTTCATAAACTGCTCCAAAATGAGGAGCTACTGGTGGGTTAAAATGCTATTTAATAACAATATGGCTTGTTGCCTCGTTTATTCTTTTCTTTTCGCTATCAGTGAAACTTCGTTGCTCTTTGTTTGCTAATACAAAGTTGCCTCCATTATCTGATATCATTTGCGTTCAACGCAAACGCTCTTTAAGGTAAAATGCTCGTCAAGACAGGCAAGTAAACAAGGCTAAATAACGTTTTGCCCATTTTTCCTTTCTTCCTTGAATAGTTATGAACGAACCACCATAATCAACAGCACACCTTTCAAAGGCCTTCATACTAAACTGCAAATATTTTGTTGGTAATCGTGCTATATTTTGCGTTGCTGACTTTGCTTTTCTACGCTTACATTTTGCACACTCCGCTTCCCTTTTTTTTATCTCTTCTCTTCCAGATATTACCCAATAATTTGTAGACAAGTTGTCCTGCTTCGAGATAATCTTTTACGATCAACTTGGTTATGTGGTTATGTCTTGGCAAAATAATTGGGCATCTTGTATTGAATTTTGAAAAAAAAAAATTTGTTTTTTATTGAAAAAAAAAAGCATTCCATCACTGTCTTTGAATTAGAAATCCATTTTCTTGCGGTCGTTTCCGTCTTTTTCCACAGTTGTGTAAGTTGATTATATAATTCAATTGCTTTTTCTTCGGTTTCAACTGAATCTATACTGTCATCTATATTTGCTGACTTATCAACAGTCTCCGCAGCCAGTGGAAACTTCTTTTTATATTTCACTACATGTTTTTGTATAACAAACTGGGCTTGAAAAGAGCTGGAATTGACACCAAATACAACTCTTGTAAATTTAAATAATTCAGGGTTTTTATTTTCTTCTAGATCCCACCAAAAAAATCTAGGTATCGTTAATCTTTTCGGATTCAGCTCAATTTGCAAGTACATCTCTGTAATATCACCTAGCAAAGCGACTGTGTTTCTTAGGAACCGACACAGAGATCTCGTTGCCGTTTTGGTCCTTGATGGATGACGTCATTCAGCTAAATACCTTGGCATTTTGCAGCAGCGTCGAAAACAATTTTGACTTTTGTGGTCTCCTTTTCCAACTTTACAACGCTGAAGTGTGGAAGGCTCCATTGATTTTTGTAATCATTTTTGCTTACTTTTTTGATATAACCTTTTGTTAAATAGTTTTGTTTCTTTGTAAATTTCCGTCACCTCCGGTGTTCTTTTAAGCCGTATTTCCGTAGTTATTAACCAATTTACTGTCATTTCATAGTTGCTTGGTAACAATTTTGTATCCTTTTTCCAAGGAATGCCAATTTGATATTGCCCATCTACATAATTTATCAAATTTTCGCTTGATATAGGCCCTTTTTATCTTTAAAACTTCCAGCTTGTGTTTCTGATGTTGGATAAACATTTCTGATCTCCCAAAATGTTTTTAGTGTTTCATTAATTTTTTCAACTTCGGAAATACTATTAGTTAACGTCCAGGTGTGGCAAGCATAATGATTTTAAGTACGTTCAAGCGTTCCAACACATGTCCATCCCAGTGGCGTGCTATTGGATATCCAGTGCTTTTTTTTTTCTGTTTTTTTTGTTTTGTTCTTTATTACAATATTTAATACAACATTTACAAATATATCAATAAGAAAAATTACATGCAAAGAAACCGTTAAATAATAAAGAATAATAATAAAGAACGCGGATACTCAAAGAAGAACATACGGGTATTGTTACCGAGAACCGCTGTTGAAGAACTTTGAACTTAATTTAGATTTTAGAAAAAAAAATAAAAAATACATACAGATTTTAAACTTTTCTTTAGCTATGGTCTTTATGACTTGAATTAAAATACTAATTCTTCTGAATCGCGTGACTCAAGCGAAAACAATAATACCATAATATTCTTGATAAACAAATACGTTTTAATATTGTCAATTAATTAATAAATAAACGAAAATAATAAGAATAAGATTGCACTAGGTACATCCAAATGCACTTCAAGGTTGTCCAAAAGATTGTGTGGAAGACTTTAGAAAGCCAAATGATGGTGTCACTGTTTGTGAAGCTAAAATTATCAAAGATTGGTGCGTTTACGTTTACGCTTCCGCCGACAAAAATGCTAAACCACTGTCAAAGGATGGTTAACTTCCAGTATCATATATACAACATTTTCAAACACATCCATTCACATCCATTCTTTTTAATTATATATATATATATATATATATATATATATATATATATATATATATATATATATATATATATATATATATATATATATATATATATATATATATATATATATATATATATATATATATATATATATATATATATATTATTATTATTATTACAAAATTAAATTCAATATTAAAAGTATATACCGTTCGTAAGACAAATTATTTACAAATATTACGAATTAAAATAAAAATTAAAGTAAACAAGTAAATAATAAATGACTACTGTACAAATAATGTCAGCGCAACTTTTAACAAAATTCAAATAATGGTGTTTATATATAGTTTCTCACTTTAAATCAATATTGTATAAAAATAAAATATATATGAGTGATGACGAAACTGGGTATAATTAAAAGTATTTAAATATATTTTCAATTGATAAAATTATTTTTTTTAGTTTTCTTTTGAACATATAACAATTCCATTCAAGAGAAAAATCAAAATTTTTTAAAATTATTTGTTTCCATAAAAAAGCTCCACGAAAAGAAATGCAAAATTTACCAAAGTTTGTTTGAAATTTTGTTTGTTTAATAAAATTATCATTTCTTAAAGAATATTTATTTTTTTCTTTTAAAGAATATAAATTAAAAAAGGAAGCTGGAGACGAGTTGGTTTTACATTTAAATTTCTGTTTTTGATGAGTGAAGCTCAGCGTTATCCAATCCAATAAGAATATCTACAATCGGTCGCTGTCCCAGTTTGCAAAATGATACAGTTTTAGGGTGACTCCAATGGTTTTTATATTTATTCCAATCCACCACTTGCATGTTACTCGTAAATCTATAAACTTTTAATGCATTTAACTTTTTTAATTTACCATCAATGCTTTGCAACTCAACCGGCATCGTTTGAAATGTGTCAACTCTACCATTGAGTTTAGTAATCCTTATTTCTTTCATTACTTCTTGTAATCCAAGTTCTGCAACTACATCACTGTTTATATAGGTTTGGGTACTAGCATCATCCAATAGAGCGTTGACTTTTATCAACCGTTTTCCATTTGTTAAAATGATAGGTAAAGTTCTCATAGCCACATCTTGACATTGATCTTTGCTTGAAAACTTGGTAAGAAGAGTTGTTTCTTCCTTTTTTTTCTCTCGTTCGTTTCTTTAAACGCAATAGTCTGTCATGAACTTCTTGACAACCATCTGTTCCACATTTTCTTGATTCCTCGCATTTGTTTCCAACATGATCATTACCCAAACAACGATAACATAGATGATAAAACTTTGCTTGTTCCCATCTTTTGCTCACTGCCATGGATTTGAACTTTTCACATTCCCAAACTGCATGTTTACGATCACAAATTTTGCATGTTTTTGTTACATCGTCTTTAAGCTTTTCTCCAAAGTATGTTTAATGTCTTTTTTTAACGTTTTTAAAGGTTTTTTCTTGATTATACTTTGTATCTTCCAAACCACATAAAGCTTCCTGGGAAACTGTATAAAACTCTGCTTTTTGTATAACCCATTCTCGCAACGATTCCACCCGAGGACTTTTTTGCTTTTCAAATAACCATCGTAAAATTACACTTAGCATTGTTTTTGGTAACTTCTTCATAAGTTTAATGTAGAGTGAGCCATCTAGTAACTCTTCAAATTTTTCCAATTCTTTTAAATTTATGACTGCAATATCCAACTATCAGCAAAGTTTTCAAGATCATTTGGGCTGTTTGGTTTTACTCGACTAAAGTTTTCCACTCTCTCCAAATACAAGGCAATTTGTCGTCGTTTGCCCCCATACTTCTTTTCGAGTCGATCTTTTGCAGCTCTGTACGCAGCTTTTCAATACCCCAAACTTTCAACAACTTTTGAAGCTTCTCCTGATAAGTACTGGCGTAGTTGCAAGAGTTTATATTCCGGAATAGCTGGAGCCCTATCAATACATGCTTTGAACGCTGCCTTCTAATTTTTGTATTGTTTTTTATCTCGAGAGAAGACAGGAATCGACATTCTAGATAAGTGCTTCCATAAGTCTTGTCCAATTTCTCTTTTTGTACTTATGTTGTTATTTGTTGGTTGAAAGTCAATACCTTTTTTACAGTACTCCGCTATTTTAGATGGTTCACCTCGCCAACCAGTTACAACAGGGCGTGTTTGCCTTTTTTACATCAACAATTTCAGCATGCCGTTTAACTTGTGCATCCAGTTGGTCATTTTTCAACTCATCCCATTCCATTTGCCGACTTTACTTTAAATGTTTTGCATATCCATCATCCATCAATCCATTATCTATTAATTCACAACGCATTGATTCCATTTCTATTTTTCCCATACCATGTTGTTCATAACCAACTTTATCGATGCTATTTTCATTTTTCTTTTTTTGACCAATCCTTTTAAGTTAACGTTTACGTTCGCCAACAACCCCTATTGTGACAATGCTTGAAGCGTCATCTTTTTGAGAGTAAAGATATTCGTGCGTCATTTCGTCTGCTTCCATGTAGGCAGACTCTATTACTTCAATTTCTTTTGTAACCTTGGTTGCCATTTCGAATTCATTATTTTTCCGATATTCAACTGAAAGGTCATTCATTGTCTTTGTTGCAGCCGATTGTGTCACATCAAGCTTTTCCCAACATTTGCAAACATCGTTTCTGCTTGGAAGCTTGGAGTAAAGCAATTCCATTAGCATTCTTCACGTTCTCGTAAACGTCATTTTTGTCTTCGCTTTAGCTCATTTTAGCTGATCCATCCGAATATGATGAACTCCTTTCAACTCACTTTCACTTTCAATATCGCTCATTGTTGTGTTCAATTGCTAGATAACTACCCTCTGCCACTAAAATGTTCGTGTGAAAGCACGTAGGGCGTATTAAACTCAAAAATAATACCTGACTTATTTCAGCATTATATATTTTGATTAGAACGTTAATATAGCTAACTCAAAAAACGCCTCTTTTATAAGTTTATTCACAATTATTTATATGGACATTTCCCCAAGAGAGATATTATTAGGTATTTTCTAACTTTATAATGATTTATACACAAAATTCGCTAATTGGCTCTCTAGCAAAGGAAATCTCTAACGTCAATATATGACGCCTAGAGACGTCTATAATACAACTATATTATTTACATTCAACTACTATTTACACTAATCGCCTCGTAAACATTTTCTACCTTAAAGATATAATTTTCTACCTTAAAAGCTAAAAAAACTACACCTTACAAAAGGTATATCACATATCCTACCTTGAATAGAATTTTCAACCTGTTTTTTTAGTGTGTACTTACTCTTTTCTTATCTTTGTATTGGATGCAAGTAACCTGAACAGCGTGGAACAGTGTTTCAAATACTATGGACACATTTTATCTATTTCTTTGGATGACAATGATGATATTCAGACAATTATAAACACTCAAACTAAGAGTAGACCTTCTTTGACCCCTTTTGTTAACCATTCTTTGGCCCCTTCTGTTATTTCTATGTATTAGCGACCTTAAAAAAAACTCAAAAAAACTTGTTATAGATATTGGCGATGACACAAACTTTTTTTATTCCTTAAACTCAATTATAGATTTTTATGAACCTGTGAACAACGCGCTTGAATGATTAAACATCTGGTTGAAATTAATTAATTTATTACTAAGTACAAAAAAACCAAATACATCCCAGCCAACATTGACAGACGGGTACCGTATGGTTTTTGTCTGGGCTTACGGAAACGGGATTTTGACATGTAAGTGTTTTGGTTTCCAGACGGGTCCCATATGGTAATAAAATCAAGCATAGGGTAAAACACCCAGTATTCGCCACTTTTTTCTACCCTGTCCCACTAAAATATTTTTTTCTCACTCGTTTTTCAATAAATGATTGATCTTAAATATTTATCGTACAGATGGATAGTTGGGCTATACGCTGTACTTAGAACAAATGACCTCCGATAATTAATAAGGGGGCTATAGCCCCCGAAAGTTGAAAGTGGCGGACACTGGAACGGTCCCCGTGTTCGCCAGGCAATTTTTTGAACCTGTTCCAGTGTTCGCCACCCTCAGACTTTTTAAAAAATGAGTTCTTTTTTTTAGTTATTTGGTATTAAAAATATATTTAAATAATTGTTGAATAATTTTTTTATGTAATGGAAAATTTTTTTGGTTTCTTCTTTGCCATTTTTGTTGCTGGCAGCAACTTTCTTTTAGCTGGAACACTTGGCTTGTTGCGTTTAGCTAATTCAGCAACTAAGCGCTTCGTTTTTCTCTCCTCTTTTGCTTGTTCTTGTTTGTTTTTTTTCAAGCCTAATACCTTCTAGCATCGAGACAACTTTATCTGAAGTCACTACAGATGTGGCATGAAGTTCTTGAGCCACTGTACGAACCTTTCCTATGAAAATTAAAATAATAATCAGGTTATAATAAAGTAAATTTATGACCATAGGCTACATGTGGTAATTTTACAGAGATTAAAAATGGAAATTATAATAATAAATTTAAAATATAGGTTGCCTAGTTAATACACTAACCGATAGCTTTTTTTGGAGAAGGGAACCACTTATGATTTTTAAGAGCAGGACTAATCGCAGGTGGTCTTGCTTGTCTTTGAGGTTCTACCAACATAGGCCTAGTCCTGTTTGGAGGGGCTGACATTGAGGAACACTGTGCATCTGAACTAGAATGAATACTAGGTGAATGAACAGGGGAAACAACAAGGGAATCAACAGCTGGTGCATCCTCTTGGCGATGATTTCGATCAAAGACATATTGGAACCAATTTTGCCTCTTCACCATTCTGAGTGAATCAAATCGTGGCGAATCGATGACAAAGTCATCAAATGATTTTGTTATCCTGTAATATAAATAAGAATTGTTTTATAATAGTTACTAACTTTTATTACCCTGTAATATAGATAAAAATTAGTTTATAATTGTTACTAACTTTTATTACCCTGTAATAGCTATAAATAAAAATTGGTTTATAATAGCTACTAACTAGCTAGCTGGGCTTATTATTTTATATTGATACAAATGTTAGACACTAATACCTAGCTATCACTTACAGGTGAATGTTTGGGCCTGCTCCCAGTCCTTCCATCGTGCTAGTACTTGTGTTACCAGACAAGATGATGTCAGAGGATGTCTGTGTCGCAACATTGACATGAAAAAAATTTTCAACTTGAGTGGAAGCTTCAACACGACCGTCTTGAAGCACTCCTTCAAATATTCGACTGTCTCCGGAGTGGGCTTCTTCAAGAGTGAGCTTGGTATAATCAGGAGCGTCTTGATCAAATGGCTGTATGCCACATTTTTTAAAGGATTTTACTATTTTCTCTCTACTCATGACCCTTGTGTACACTGGTAGGAACATTCCTGCAAAGGACTCTTTGGTAACGTATTCATTTGGGTTGGCAGCCCTGAACCTATTCACACACTTAGCCCATTCATTTTTCATAGGGCCAAACAATCCTACGTCCAAAGGCTGCATGAAATGGGTACAGTTTGGTGGGATCAATATAAGCATTATTTGCAGGTCTGCTAAGGTTTTAACTAAATGAAATTGCAGCCTCGATTCATGTTTGTCGGACCAAACTATAACTGGTCTTTGTATATTATGTTAAGTTAACCATTGGTCAAATGCATTAGTGAGATACTCATAAAGCACCTGATGGTAATATATCCCGATTCACTCTTTCCGATTGCAAATAAACTGGATGGAATGGCTTCGTATACATTCATAGGAATACGAAGGTTAGGATAAATTATAAGCGGTGGAGGGAGAGAGCCATTGGCACCAACGTTAGCTGCAAAGAAAAGTGCAAAAAAAACCAAAAGTTAGCAAGCAGGCCAAGCTAGTATCATGCTAAGCTATCATGCTCAGAGATATGTTGAAAAAAAAGCAATTTATAGTGCAGCATTAAAAGAAAAGCATTACAGAAATAACATAAAAATGAGCAAAGAATAAAATGAAAATGTACCTAGAACAGTGATTCTTTCCTTTTCTTTTGAAGATGTCGCATACGGTACATTTTTAGAACCCTTAGCAGCTAAAACTTTGGAAACCTTGGGTGAAAACTGGAACCCCGACTCGTCGATGTTATAGTTACGCTGGGGTTCCTGAAGGATTTCAAGAAGGTCATGTTCAGAGAGGTACGATCTTATATCAGCAAACCATTGTTGTATGACAGCTTGTGAGACATTTCTTCTATTCGCACTTAATGATTCAGTCATGCGAGCAACTATGTTAGGATGCCTCGACAGGAATAGCTTATACCTTAGAAAATAATGGCTAAATTAGTCGACTAGGTATAGGCTATTTCTATTAGACTAATTTTATGTCTGTATCAATTGTTATAAGCTTTATTTATTAAGCTACAAATGTTTTATAAAGTTAATTTGTAATGAAAAATCTTATGACTCGTTATTAAAATTATAACTTTTTTTTTTATTTTAATTACCTATAGGTCAACTTTTATAACTTAGGCACAACCTACTTACCATTTATTCCCTGGCTGTCGAGTCCCTGATCTTCCAAATTGAAAGGGACGGTCTCTATTTACTTCCATAAGTAAACTTTCATCCGAAAGAAGACTAGTTACCAATGACATAATGGTTTCTTTCGTAACAGGGTGGGCACGTTTCTGTGCGCTAACAATAAAATTCACCAAAACATTTTCTTCTGCTTCAGTGAGGTAAGTTTGTGGGCCCATCTTTTTTACAACAGGCGCTTTACCACTTATTTTGTCCCTCAATGTGGTGCGCGGGATATTGTACAACTTGGATGCCTCTGAAGCAGTTCTTTCACCACTGAAATATAGCACAGTATAATTTAGGTATGCAACTACTTTATCAGTACTAGGCAGCCCTACCCTATGTATTTCTTTTAAATGTATTATAGGCATTAGGCTATTATGACTACACAATAAGCAATTTAAGCATTGAAATTATGTCTATTAATGCATGCTAATTTTATTACCTTTTTACTTCTTCAATTGCCTTTCTAATGTCCTGCTCAGTGTAAGAATCTCTTGTAGACATACGTGAACCCTTATTGGACTTTGATTTACTAGTATTCATAATTCTAAATGGATATTATGTACCTAGGTACTTAGTGAAACTATTTATTATAAGTCTTAACTTGATATATAAATTAATTTAATATAGTTATATAGCCCTATTTGGACTGCTTTAGTATTGTTTAATAACTAGGTTAACAGATAACCTATTTCTGAAATAAAAAATAAATACTTAGCTATATTTATACATTTAATAAAAAATAAAAAATAATAATTTGTTCCCGATGGCGAACACTGGCAAAAGGGGGGTGGCGAACACTGGACAAATTTAAAACGCCTATAACTTTTTTGTTTTTAAACGAAATTCAACCTAACGAAGACTGGCATATGGGTCAAAGTCCATATTTTACCATTAAGCCCATATACGCCACTTTAAAGAAAAAAAATTTACCTGGCGAAGACTGAACTAGGTACTGTTATGTGTTCCAGTCTTCGCCACCCCCCCTAACCCTGCCCCCCTTAATTTTTTTCCAAGAATAGCCCTGGTACAATCTTCTCCTTGTTCTTCCCATCAATCTGGAATAAAAAAAGTGAAATTGAATTGATATTTAATATGTTTTTTATGTAATTGTTTAAAAAGATTTCTGAAAAAAAATTTTAAGGATTAAGGTTTTTTTGTGACAAACTTTCATTCAAAAAAATCCTGAGAGTTTATTTATTTAGTTACGATCGTCAAACTTTCGTCAAATATAAAGCAACGATGGGCGTTCATTCTAGACACTATTTCGGCACTTTCAACCAAATAGTTTTTGACATGCATGTTTTTTAATGGAAAACTGGCGACGACTGGAACACCTGGCGAACACTGGGTGTTTTACCCTATTTGCTCGTTTGGGTTTTATTTGGTTTTTATCAGGACCAAAGAATATGGGGATATGACGGGTTTCCCATAAGGTTCCCTAAACGTTTAAACTGATTTAAAAAATCATAACAAAACTTACTCGATGATTGCCATTTATATTTCGAATTGTGCGTGAAATAAGAGTAAAAGTTTAAATTTAATGCATTATATTTTTTGTATACATTATACTTACATTGCAATTAAAAAGAAATTTATTTTTTGGATGTATTTTGTCACTGTAAAACTCCATTGAAAAGACGTTGTTTTAAATTTTCATTTATTTATTACCATTATAAAAACTTTTTCTTATATATATATATTTTTTAAATAAATTTACAAATTTTAACATATTTGTTGAACATATGTTCCAGACACTATTAAACATGTAGTAAATATTTCATTGAGACACTGTTTGCATTTTTAAAATGATCAAAATATAAAGTTTTGTTTCTGCTAGTAATTTTAATAAATGGTTTGAGTTTAATTAGATTATTGGTTTAGTCAGAAACATTTAAAAAGAGCTAACAGGCGAATGGAATGTAATGGATAGGTTATATTTAGGGAATTAAAAGCTTTTAAATTGTTTTTACAGATCCACTCTTTTCCATTGATTTTTCTATATTTTATGCAAAATGACTGATGTTATTAACATTGTTAACGAAGTTTACTCACCGTCAGATATAAATAAAGATAAAATTAGATGTTTAATTGCAAAAAATGGCTTTATTGTTATGCATCAACCTCATTTTTTATTCATTGATATTTTTTGATTTTGATTTAAAATTGTACACTTACAATATTAACAATAATTTCATAATATACATAATAATAACTTATACTTACAATACCTATACTTGTAAATACTTATAATATAATACTTATGTTTATAATTCTGATAAAATTTTTATTGATATGAACTTTTGCATTCAAACTTTAGTTATAAAACTTTAGTTTAACTTGATAACTTTAACATGAATAACAATAACTAAAAAAAAATAATAGTTATTATATAGATTATAACCATATGCTTATTTATTATAATTGAGTTATAGTAAGTTAAACAAGATAAAATGTTAAGTTCCAGGTAATAGGTCTTATATGATATGTATCTTATATATATCTTGTATTTTGCAGCATGTTCAAGAATATTTCTGCATGGTGCACTATGACTGTTGACAATATTTGCATACTGATATGAGTAAAAGTGACTTCAACAACCAGAATGTCTTTTTGATAAATATTAGTAATAACAGGTTAGTAAATATAATTATAATAATAATGGTAATAACTTTTTATTATTAGAATTAGTGAGAGACTTGTGTATAATAGAACTGTATTAACTTTGGGGGACAAATATAATAATTTAAGTAAATATTACCGTTGTTTATAACCTTAATTAGAGTAATGTAAGAAAATATTATTTTTATCTAAAGAAAATTTGGCATAAGTCAGTATTTCCTAAGTTTTAAATATTATAAAAAAACATGTGTTTGAAAAAAATTTATCATAAAATAAAAAAATAAGTATTTGAGTATGAAAAAAACACATTTATTATTATAATATATATTTATCACATTAACTGTGTTGTCTATAAAGTAGAATAATACTTTATAAATATTTTATATAAAAACATATAGGAATTTATTCAATGAAAATCTAAAATAGTGAAAAAATTTAAGCATACATGTAAATAATGTTAAATAAAATTTGCCAAAAGCTGTTGCTATTCATAAATGTTGCCGTCAGAGCCTAGGCCTAGGACTCACAATATTAGGAGACCCAAATTAGGTTTTTAGAAATTTGTTTAAAAAGTAGTGCCCAAAAATCTAATTTTTGATTATTTTAAGTGAACCAACTATCTTTTGTTCAAAAAGAGTACACTTTGCAAGTATTTCATAGGTGAAAAAAAAAAGAAGAAAAAATATACTCGCAATTTCCTTACTTCTGATTCCATTCTCTACCTCTATAAATCTCTTATTCATCCCTGTATGGAATACTGTTGTCATATTTGGGCTGGTTCTTCTAACAATTCACTTTCTCTTCTTGACAAGGTCCAAAAACGCATTGTAAATGTTGTTGGACCTGGACTATCTGCTAAGCTTGAGCCTCTTTCCCATCGTCGTAAAGTTGCATCTCTTTCTCTTTTCTATAAATACTATCATGGTCACTGCTCAAAGGAGTTATCATCTCTAGTTCCATCAACTAAAATTCATTCTCGTTTTACTCGTCATTCAGCTAAATCTCATTCATTTACTGTATCTGTCCCTGCATGCTCTAAAAACTTTTATTCATCTAGTTTTTTTCCCTGCACTTCAATCCTCTGGAACTCTCTCCCATCTTCATGTTTTCCTGACTTTTACAACCTTCAACTTTTCAAGTCTTCTGTCAACGGTTTCCTTGCTCTATAACTCTGTTCTTTTTTTTCCTAGTAACTCCCAACTTAATAGTGGTTGCTTGCAGCCTTGTTGGGAGTAAATGCAAATAAAAAAAAAAAAAAAAATTTCTATTAAAATTTTTAAATTTTCATGTGGGGTATGTTCTACTCTAAAATGCCGAAAGATTTCTCCCCATTCTTTTGTCTCTTCTAAATTTACTCTTCGAATTTCTCCAAAGAGAAAATTGTCATTAATAACAATATCTTTTTCTTTCTTCATTAAAAATTAGACTGCTGAAGAAACTTCTTTCCATTCAATTTTACTATTTATAAGGGTCCATTTGAAACATTTCAATGCTCTAAAGTTCATTATCCATTCTTCAATATATTCATAGCAAATTTTATAAAAATTTGCTATGAATATATCAAAATTAAAAAAAAAAACATCTTTTAAAAATTCATTTTTTATTCCAGGATTGGAATCTTCCAAAGCTGTCAGTATATAGGCTTTAATATAGGCTTTAATATTGTATAGAGTAGTGTATGTATACATTTTTTTATTTAAAATTGCCTTTAATTTACTTTTTTATATTTTTCTGCAAAAATTGTTTTCTGTCACTCTATCCTTCTGAACTTATGTGATTAAATTTTTGTTTTCTCTTACATATTTTCTCACTCATCTTATCTCATCCGTTCATTCTCTCTTTTTTCATTTATTTTTCTTAGCGTTACTCCTTTATATTTTTGTGCTAATTCCAACTTTTTTAATATTATTGTTCCTTTTACTTCTTTTTTGTTTACTTGTATTAATGCAGTTTACTTTCTTTATTATTTCTTTGTTTTAATATTTTTTTTATTTTATTTGTTTTATTTATTAAGGTGTTGCTCCATTGACTAGTTTTTAACATGAGTGACGCCGAACATAAATTTGTAAATTATAATTAAGTTTGTAATTTTGCTTTTATTTAATTAAATATATGGATAAAATTTTTTTGCTGTACATACTACGCATGCGTCAAGACTATCAAGCATACTGTACATACTGCACATCAAAGATCAGCCTGGGGATTACATACACAATAATTAGAGAGATAGATATGTCCATCTCTTTTCACAAATGTAATTTTGATGTTGTTTGAAAAAAAAGGTCTGTAGTATCTATCTATCTCTCTGAAAAAAGCAGCCATATGTGCGTGCAAAATTTAAATCACTGTCAAACTTGTGTCTGGTGTTTGCCCTATTCTCTGACATGCTGGAAACGACAAGCAATATGCGCGCGTGAATTGCAAATCACTGTCAAAATAATTTTAAATATTTAATTAATAAAATTGAAATGAAATAATCTGAAAAAATATTTTAAAAATACAAATGAGTACAAAATTATACAAATGAGAACTTTCAGAGTACAGGATTTGAAAAAAGTATGGTTTGTGAAAAAAGAGTACAAAACTTAGTAAATGAGAATAGTTGGTCACCTTAATTATCTACATAATTTTTTGGTAGATTTCAAAGTTCTTGCAAAAGATGGTTTTATCTATGAAAATATTGAGTTTAAAATCAATCTTGCTGTTATCATATGTGATGCACTAGCTAGAGCATTTGTAAAGTGTATTAAAGGACACAATGGTTATAAATGATGTGAGTGTTTAGAAAGGAGAGTGGTATGGCAAGATAATTCTCCCACATAATTCACTAATTTTAATTACTGATTCAGATTTTTTGTCATCAAAAGCATTCGGAACATCTTTGTGGTGTGTTAAATTGAATTAAATTTTAACGTGGTGAC